CACACACACACACACACACACACACACACACACACACACACACACAGTCTAGAAAAAAAGATAGTAGATTTAGCAAATGGTACTCCAGGACTGTCCTGCAGAAATATCATACAAGTTCCACTTAAAAACAAGTAAACAGCTGAAGTTAATTTTTTAAATAGTAACCTTATTGAGACATGGTTCAGATACATTGCATTTACTCCTTTGCAATTCATACTTCAGTGTTTTTCAGTATGGTCTTGGAGGTAGCCTCCATTGTTATTATCTAATTCTATGACATTTGCGTCATGGCTAAAAGGAACTCTACGCTCAGTAGCAGGGCTTTCTGTCTCCCCCAGGCCCTGGTAGCTGCTAGTCTACCTTTTATGTGGAGTTATGTGTTCTAGCCATTTCACATAAATGTAAGTGTATAACATGTAGTCTTTTGAATGTCTCCATGCAGCGTGTGTGTGTACATATATATTTCACATATATATGTAAAAGTAATTTAATGACATTTAAAATTTTATTTTATGTATATGGATGTTTTGCCTGTGTATATGTCTGTGTACCATGGAGGCCAGAAGGCAGCATTGGATATTGGAAACGAGATTATAGACAGTTGTGAGCGGCCATGTGGGTGCTGGGAACTGAACCCAGGTTCTCTGGAAGAGCAGTCAATGCTTACTTAACCACTAAGCCATCTCTCTAGCCTCTTGACTTTTTTTTTTTTTAAATAGAGTCTCATTTGGCCCAGATTACCCTCAAACATGTTACAAAACTAGGAGAGGACTTGTCCTGATCCCCTGCCGCTACTTCCCACAGCTGTGGCAGCAGATATATCACCACATGTCACCTAGTTTTAGAGACTTGAAAACCGATTTAATCTGTGCCGGCCATTGCTGTTTATATGCACATAAATGTAACATCTGTGAGTGAGGTCTTTCCCATGTTATTATGTGCGGAGGCTCTGAACTCTGTGCGTGTTTTGCTGGTTGCTTTGAATCTAACCAAATGCAAGTGTTCAGTGCCCACATGTAGCAGTCACCATGGTGGAGAGTGGGTGGGACGCTTGGCTTTTGTTCAGAGTTCTTTTTATGATGGCCCACATTTGTAAAAGGTGTGTAAAATTTATGTGTGTTCTACTTTGCTTTCTGTTGCTGTGATTAACATCATGATCATAAACAATTTAGGGAAGTCAGGTGAGATGGTGCAAAAGCCTGTAATCCCAGCACTCAGGGAGGCTGAGGCAGGAGGATCTCTGTGAGTTAAAGACCAGGACAGCCAAGGCTACACAGAGAAACCCTGTCTCAACCCCCCACCCCCAAACCACCACCACCACCACCAACAATAACTTAGGGAGAAAAGAGTTTATTTCATGTTACAACTCCCAAGCCACATGTGATCCCCGAGGGAGGTCAAGGTCAAACTTAAGACAGGAGCCTGGGGCAGGAGCTGACGCAGAGACTTGGAGGAACACTGCTTCTGGGCTTGCTTTCAGCTTCATATTCTGTTGCCTTTCTTTACTGTCCAGGACCCACTGCACCGGCGTGGCACCACTCACTGTGGCTAAGCCTTCCCATATCAACCGTTAACCAGACTTGTCCCACAGATTTGCCTACAGGCAAGTCTTCTGGAGGAGTCTCTCAACTGTGGTTCCCTTTTCCCATGTGACCCTAGTTTGTGTAAAGTGTGTGTGGGGGGGAAGCATAATATTGTATGTGGTCCTGATGGGAATAAGGAAGAATTTCAGAAAATACATTGAAATCAAGAATGAGTTTTACTGCCTCAACTTCCACCCCCTCGATACTCCCCCCCCCCCCAGTTCCCCCCCCCCCCCATCCCCTTGCTGCCATCTAATCCCTAAACTGATGAGGAGTGGGAGATGTACTTTCATTGGAGAGTTTGGGTCTGCTTCTGTCATGTTATGTTCAGTTGCTGCCCTGTGGCCTGTTAATTTGGGGGTTGGTTCCCAAGGCCTCCATACAAGTCTAGTTCTACAGAGCTCTGGGTCCCCACTGTAACTCCCGGGTGCAAATAGGTGACCTTGTAAGAACCTACATATGTTATAATTAATTTAGTTTAATTATATTTGATGTAATTAAAGAAGACAGGAAGGAACAATGGTTAAAATATGCTGGATGACAGTCCGTAACTAAGAGCGCTTTGATGGGCTGTTTCCTATAGAGCAATGGGAGAGGCTTCATTTGTGGTGTAGGAAGTGAGGTGGTTAGAACTTGTCTTAGTACCTGAGAGATTTATAATTTAGTGGCACACGATAATTATACGCAGTGCCACTGTCATGCTACAACTATGATAGATGCTCTAGAAGGAGGATAGATAGTCTAGAAGGAGGACTGGACACCTGCCTAGCAGGAGGCTTAGCTAGGGTTGAGCTGAGGTTTCTCTGGCTTGGGATAGGAGAATGCAGAGCAGAAGACGAACATTCCAGGGCAAAGGAACAGCATGGATGTGGGTATGAAAGCGTAGACAAGGGGTTGCTGCCAGCAGGTGGTCAGGCTGGACTGTGAGGAAAAGGTGAAGTGCTGGAGAGGAGCGGGGACACACGGGTAGAACACAGAGAGGGGCCTGGCCCACTGGTTATTTTTAGAGAAACAGAGGAGGGCAGGAAAGAAGATGAGTTTAAAAAACCATCTGCACAACTGTATTAGCAGTCAGCTTTTATTCTGCCCAAAGATGATGCAACTGGGGACTTGACTGTCGGTAGTCTCCAAGGGAGGCCAGAACCTGTATCTGTGGGATGGTTCCCTTGCACGCTGATGTGCAGGAGCTGAGCCCAAAGGTCAGTAAGACTCACCCTCTACACTGTTTCTTTAAAAGAGGGTGACTGAGGGCCAGAGATTTAGCTCAGGTGGTGGAGTGTTTGCACAGCATCCAGAAAGCCCTGGCTTTTATCCCTTTCATGAACATGGTGGTTTGTTCATTAAATCCCAGCACTTGGGAGGTAGAGGCAGGAGGATCAGAAGTTCAAGGTTATCCTTGGCTATGTAGCAAGTATGACGCCAGCCTGGGATACATGAGGTCACAGGGGCAGGAGGAACCAGAACATATCCAGAGAAGGGAAACTCAGTGATAGCTGCCGTGTTGTAGATTATCAATAAACAGTGGCTATTCCTAAATAGCTGTATTCCCAAATCACCACACAGAGACTAGGATTTATTTAGTTAACCTAGAGCACAATACTGGGCAATAGTTACTCTATCCTAAACCTCCAAGCCTGCATAGTTTCCTTCCATTCAGATTTTACACACTGTACTTGCTTTTAGTCATATCTTGGATCGTGTTCATCTCTCCTGGTGGTTCCAAGTCCTCTCCTGCTGATCCCTTCTCTCTGATTTCCCTCACTCCCTTTCTTTTCCTCCCCTCTGGACCAGGATGTCCTACCCTATTCTTTCTGTTGCTCAGCACTGGCTGGCTGTTTTATTGACAACACAGAGAACAAATGGTGGCATGTTTACACAAGCTTGAGACAGGTGATGCTTAGAATAAACATTACAATGAAATGTCCAGATTGAAACCAGATAGAGGGGTAGAGAGATCAGCATTTGAATGAACAAGGGTAAATTGTTCATCCACAGAACGTTGTACCAACACTGTTGCAACTGGGATGTCTGTGTAGAGTTCAGTAGTTAGCTACTGTAGTGCGACAGCCACTAAAGCAAGCATCATCCCATAACTTTTGAGGGGTAGGAATGGGACCCCTAGCTGGTCTTTCGCAAGGTAGCAATGAAGACATACTAGCTCTGTACACAACCTCCATGGGCTGGACTGGAACACAGACCGTTGCCAAGCTCTTGTGACGCTTCCATTGGGAGTCACAGCTCCTTGCTCTGTGAACGTCTTTGTGCAACTATTCAGACCTGGTAGCTGGCTTTCTTAAGAAGAGGCCTCAGTGCCTTTTATCATCCTGCTTCTGACTCACTCTGCTCCTTTATTCTTTCCATTAGAAGTGTGTCACTAAGTCCAGCCCACACAGGGGAGGGGAATCGAGCTCTGAGACTTGAAGGGAGTAGTATCAAGGAATTTGAGGACCTATTTTTATAACTGCCACAAGATGTATTGGAGAGGACATGACAACTGTCTTCAAATATTTGGAAAGCTTTGTCAGAAGCTAAAGGCAGCTGGGTTTGGCTCCACCTAAAGAGATGCATGGAGATGTGCAAGCATGGAGCAGGTGCCTGGGGAGTGGTGAGCCCTGTGTTTCCCGAGGCAGGTACTCGGCAGGGCTGAGTGACCACGAGAGGAGCTTCTCACCTTGGGTGGGGGACTGGGTCAGAGGGGAGGACTAGAGACCTTGCTCTTTAAGTCCTCCTGGAGCACAGCCATGCTTGCTGTTTGATCTTACAGAGCTGAGCTGTGTGGCAGGAACCGTATGGTATTTGGCTGTTTTTAGGAAATGTGTACTAACCGTTGGACTGGAGGGTTTTGGAAGTCCCTGCCCCCACCCTTGACAGGTAGTGCAATGCTATGATTTTAAAGTTATTTTACAGGGCTGAGGGGATGGCTCTATGGTAAGAGAGCTTGTTTTACAAGCGTGAGGACTTGGATTTGGATCTCCAGAACTCATGCACAAAATAAATAAATAAATTAATTAAAAAAAAAGTCAAGCAGCAGGGGCTAGGGAGATAACTCAGCTGCTAAGAGCACTTGTTGCTCTTGCAGAGGACCTGGGCTCAATTTCCAGGACCCACATTATAGCTCACAATGATCTGTCACTTCAGTTCCAGGGGATCTGCTAACCTCACTGACTGTCATAGGCACCACGCCTGCATGTATGTGGTGCACACACACGCAGGAAGAACAGTCATGTACAAAAATAAGATAAGTATTTTTAAAAAGCTAGGCATAGCCGTGTATGCCCGAAAGCCCAGCGCTGAGGGAGCTCGATGGCCTTCCAGGCCAGCTGAGACAGTGGACTTCCAGTTCAGTGAGAGACCCTGCTTCAGGGCAAGAAGTGACAAACGATAGCGGAAGGTGGCCAGGGCCATCCACGCACATACACACACAGGCACACACACACACACACACACACACACACACACACACACCCCTAGCCACAAATCTAGAAGCATTTACGGGTGAGCATGCTGTGTGGGGGTGCTTCAGGCAGTATTGTGTTTGTATGTGAGTTACATGAGATTTTATAGATGGCGATTCTGAGACTAAATCTTGTTCTTTCCTTTGGACAGTGCCTGAGAGAGGAAGTTGCTTGTGTCGCCGCTGGACTGAGGCACGCATTAGCCACCACAGGTGAGCACTCCACCTTTATCTTGCGAGTGAGCCTGCTGAGCAATAGAACACCAGGAGAAAACTTGGGAAAGAGCGTTGGGAAGGGCCCTGTGGTGCTGCAGCTCTGACTCCGCAGGGGCGGAAGGAAGTGAGCTCTCTGGCTCTTTTTGTTGTAGACACGCTGCTGGATTTTTCACAAGTCGATTCTCTCATTTAGTCCTCATAGCCAAGGAATGGTGTGAGTTAGCGTCTTTTTCAAACCCCATCAAGAGGTTGTAGAGACACTTGTGAGTGGCGGGAGAGATAGGGATGTCAGTGTAGACTCTGCAGTGAGCTGGGTTGCTTTCCTGCTGGATTTTATTGTTTGTTGATTGAAAAGCGTCAGGTGAGCTGTCTTCTGTACGTGAGTGGGTGGAGGAACCAGCAGCAGCATTGGGGATGTGGAGGGCAGGTGGCATTAAGGGACATAGCACTCTGGGCCTGGCTTCAGGGTCCTACGGTTGAGAAAGCAGTTGATTATACATAGAGAGTTCCTTTCAAAAAGAGGGGCAAAGTGGGGACATAGCTCAGTATATACTATGGTTGTCTCAAAAGCATGAGGATCCAAGTTCAAATCTCCAGAACAGCAGTGGTGAGGTGAGAAGTAGAGACAGGCAGGTCCCCGGAGCTCACCAGCCAGCTAGCCTAGCCTCCTCGATGAAGTTCCAGACCAACGAGAGACCTTACCTCAGCTGAAAATTGAAGACATTTGAGGAACACCATCAGAGCTGAACTCTGGCTTCTATGTGCACCTGCATGCACACGCACACATGAACATACATGTGATGCCTGAACATGTGCTGGGGAGAGGAAGGGAGCGGGAGAGAAGTTAGAGTGTACTTGGAGGAGAGAAACCAGGAAGGGGAGAGGAAGGGAGCGGGAGAGAAGTTAGAGTGTACTCAGAGGAGAGAAACCAGGAAAGGGAGAGGAAGGGAGCGGGAGAGTGTTCTCAGAGGAGAGAAACCAGGAAGGGGAGAGAGAGGGAGTGGGAGAGAAGTTAGAGTGTACTCAGAGGAGAGAAACCAGGAAGAGGAGGAATTAGCAACTCGGAGTGTGTGGAAAATCTTCACCCTTCTGTGTCTTCCCTTTTCGATTTCTGTGCTTGCTCCTCTTGGGCTGTGTCTCAGTGTTTGTCTCCTGTGGCAACCAACAATCCATGCTGTGTGAGTCCAGGTGTGGGTGGGCAAGGGCCGAAGAGGTAAGGAGGGTAGCGTGTGAACTTAGGTGAGGACACCCTGTGCCGGTCACCTCCTGTGGCTGTCACCACCTGTAGCTTACTGCTGCTTGCACTTTCTCTTAAAGTGAGATCATGAGATGACTCTGTGGTTAAGAGCACTGGCTGCTCTTCCAGGAGATCCAGGTTTGGTTCCAGCACCCACACAACAGCTCAGAATCGTCTGTACCAGGAGAGACCCTCTCTTCAGGCCTCCATGGTACCAGGCATGCATATGGAGAACAGAAAAAAATGCTCATACACATACATACAGTTTTTAAAAAGTGAAATCTTATGTTTTGAAAGAACCAAATGATCCATAGGAAGTTGTTAAAAGCAAAAATGATTGCCTACGAATTGTTTTCCCTAATTCCCTCAGTGGTAACACCTTGCAGAGCTGACTTTGCAGTAGCTCATCCTGGATTTGGTGCTGATACGGTGAGGGTGCAGGGTTTCTCCTGCTGCTGTGGAATGGCCACACCCACTTCCTGGCCCCCAGCCTTCCCTCGGCTCCAGACAACCATTCTTGTTTCCCACGTCTGTGATGTCACGTCTGAAATGCTTTCAGATGTTCCTGTGCAGTACATAACCCTTTGGTTGTTGGCCTTCCTGCACAGCGTAAATCCCCGGAGATCTGTCTTAGACGTGTGTATCCACAACTGATTCCTTTTAGGGGCGAGAAGTATGGTATGGCTGTGGTTCTGGATTAGCCCGCTAGAGCTGTTGTGACAAAATACTACAGCCCAAGTGGCTTAAAGAACATAAACTCAGCTTCTCACTGTTGTAGAGGCTAAGAGCCCAGGATGAGTGTCGTTAGGATTGGTGTCTGGTGACACTGTAGATGGCCTTTCCTCACTATGTCCTTACAAGCTTCTCCTCTGTGCATGTGTGCAGAGAGCGCCCCCTCCTGGCTTCTGTAAGGACTGACCTCATTTCCCCTTGGCACCGGTTAGCTTTCCTCGCCTCTGAAACAGGCCGTTTCCTAACAGAGCCACCCTGGAAGTGAGGGATGTTGCGGGTGGGCAAAGTTCAGTGTGCAGCAGCCAGTTGGTCTAACTAGTTATCCGCTGGGCAGTGTCTGGCCTGCTTCCAGTTCGGCCTGTTTGCAATGAGCTGTAAACGCCCGTGGACAGGGTTTTGTTTGCATGTAAGCTTCGTCTCTCTGGGTCAAGTAAGTGTCCAGGAGCGTGACTGCTGAACTGTGATGGCTTCTTCCTAGAAGGCTGTTCTCCTAGACCTCACTGGGGCAGTGGGGTGGAGAGGGGGCTCAAGAGGCTGTGCACATGCCGTGCACCTTCCTAAAGCCAGGCATGGTTGTGTGTGTGTGATCCGGCACCCCTGTGGATGAGGTGAGCAGAACCCCCCGATGCTCACAGGCCATTGAGCTTTGTGGGCGCAGCCAGCAAACCAAAGATCCTGTCTTTATCCGGGTGGGAGGGAGGACCATTGTTTGAGGCTGCTTCCCGCCCTACACACCCTCTTAATTGTGCATGTAGCAGACAGAAGTGCTTGTTGCAAGGGAAAGCAGTGTGGAAGGGCCATGTTACTGTTAGCTAACTGTAGCCACTTTTTTTTTTCTTTCTTTTGAGATGAGTGTCATAGTGTAGTCCTGGCTGGCCTAGAACTCACAGAGTTCCTGCTTCTGCCTTCTGAGTGCTGGGATTAAAGGTATATACCAGCATGCCCAGCTCAACAAATACATTAAAAAAAAAAAAAAAAGGAAAAAGAAGGCAAAGAGGTGAACAGTCTATAGAAGGAAAGACACCAGCTACAACAGCTGAGATAGAAACAGCTACTCAGGTGTCCACTGAGAGGTGAATGGGCAAGTCACATGTGGCATACACATGCACACACGTGTCTAACTCCTCCCCACCAGGGAATGGTATAAGCCTTAAAAAGTACAGAACTGCTGACAGGCTCTTCCATCGATGAACATGATGCTGAATGACCTAACCCAGTCATAAGAAGGACAAATGCTGGGATTCCATTCAAATGAGTAGTCAAATTAGAGACTGGGGCAGGAGGACAGGGATGGGAGTGACCTGGTACAGTCAGCTTCAGTGTTGCAAGATGAAGCAGTTTCAGGGTTGGAAGGACAATGGCTGCAAACCCTGGTTACTGTGTGGCGCTACTGGGTAGATTGCACAGGAAAATATTTCAAAGAGGAGGCTGGAGAGATCACTCATGGGTTCAGAGCACTGGCTGTTCTTGCAGAAGACTCACATGGTAGCACATAGGCTGTCTGTAGCTCCAGTTCCAGGGGAATGGTGTCCTCTTCCAGCCTCTGTAGGCACCAGGCATATGCAGGCCAAACACTTAACACACATAAAATAAAAACAAATATCTGGGAAAAATTTCAAAGAGGAAAAATCTATTATTTGAGACATTGTAGCTATGTCAGCTATTTGTTGTATACAGACCTAATCCAGATCCTGATTAAGAATCCTTACAAGAGGCTGGAGAGATGGCTCAGCAGTTAAGAGCACTGGCCGCTCTTCCAGAGAGCATGAGTTCAATTCCCAGCAACCACATGGTGGCTCACAACCATCTACATTGGGGTCTGGTGCCCTCTTCTGGTGTACAGGTGTACATGCAGAAAGAGCACTCATATACATAAAATAAATAAATCTTTAAAAAAAAAGAATCCTCACAAAACCATCATTTTGACGTAGCCAGGAAAGCTTTTTCTCTTGCAGTTTATTTGCCAAGGAGGTTGCTGTCTTGGTTTATTGCAACCCTCTGCTGTGCTACGTTGTTGTCAGTGGTCACTGCTGCTGCTTCCTAAGCGGCTTCAACTCCTTCCATTAGAGTGCCAGCTGTAGACTGGTCCAGAGGAGCCTAAGGTTGGCATTAGCTGGCACATCTGTGTTGTGCATCTCCGACCATTCGGTAAATGCATAGACTTTTTTTTATCTGTGTACTTCTGCGGGAGTTGGGGTGTGGATGAATAGATTTAAGCAGGCATTCTACTGAAATAATGGCTGCCATACTGTCTTGTAATCACAAATACACGTGTATTTGACAATAGGGAATCTGAATTTGCGTTGGTAGGGTGGAAAGGCACTACTGTGAGTGTCAGCTGGACTCCAGTGTTTTCTCTGTCACTCATTTCCCATGCGATCTTGGCTAAATCTCAGCCTCTATTCTGGGCCTCCGTTTTCTCAGCTAGTAAATGTGAGGTGTGGACTTGATGGTTTTCAAGGTTCCTTTCAGGTTAGCCATGAACAAATGGCAGCATTCCAGGGGTGTGGCTGTGGGATAGTGCCTGGGACTTTCAGGACTTCTTTCATGGTTTTAGATCTGTGGACTAGATCTGTGTTTGGCTTGATGGTCACCCCTGCGAGACAAGCTTCTGTATAGGGCTCACATCGGCTGAGATCCGGTTGGGAATTTCCCGCAGCAGCGAGGGTCAAGTGGCAGCCCAGTCTAATCCTGACGCACATTTTCTCTTTTCCCTTCTGTTCTGCTGAGAAGTGAGTGGCAGCGTGTTCCAGTGGGGGACTGGCTTGGCATCTTCTGGACACCGCTTGTGTCCTGGGAAGACTCTCCCGCTGTTTTTGACGGCAAAGGAACCCAGCAGAGTGACAGGTGAGCTCCTTATTTCTTCAGAGTTTTTGTCCTTCAGAAAATGGGCAAGCAGTCTCTCTCAAACTTTATTTTGTATGGTTGTTTTTTGTTTTTTTTTTTTTCCCTGCTTGTATTCTGTGCACTGTTTGCATGCCGGATGCCCAGGGAGGCTAGGAGAGGGCGTTTCATCCCCTGGCATTGGAGTTAACATACAGATGTGAGCTGCCATGTGGGGCTGAGAATCAAATCCAGCTCCTCTGGAAGGGAGAAGCTGGTACTCTTAACTGCTGAGCCATCTTTCCTGCTTTAAGCTTTTGGTATTTTTTGATCTTTCTAATGCTGTTTGTTGGATGTCAGTCTTTTTGTGACTTTTGTGGCCCAGTAAAAGTCACTATTTTTGCCACGAGAATCTGGGATCTTTTGAGCAGTAGGTGCCAGGCAGGTAGGTAAAGATCAAAAAGGAAGTTCTAGAATGGGTCGTAGATACTTGGAGATACTGTGTGGAGTTTGGAAACAGTATGTAGTAATTTAGTGAGTCTGCAAGTTGTGAATACTAGTACAAGTTGCCCACAAGGCAGCTGGGCACCTGCACAGAGTCAGCCGTACTGAGTTTCCTGTATGGCCAAGGGGCCAGGAATGACTCTGCTGGCAGTCACACCCAGAGAGAAGACTGTGGGATGAGTGAGGCTGTACCCAGCAGGCAGGGGTGTCTCCACATGAAGACACTGTAGGAATCTGCACTCAGCTCAGGGACCTGCTCATTTGTCTGTGGTTAGTTGTTCAATAGGGGCTGCCCTCCTTTCTTTTCTTTTCTTTTTTCTTTTCTCTTCTCTTCTCTTCTCTCCTCTTTTCTTTTCTTTTCTTCCTTTTCTATCTTTTGCTCTCAGGTCCTCTTCAGCTCTCCCTCTCTGTTCTCCATGCTCTTGTGGGCCTTTCTCTCTTTGTGTATGGTTCCGTGTCTGTCTCTTCTCTGTAACTTACTTTTGGGCCCAGTTCACTGAGGGTTGGCTATGGGAAGTCCTATATAAGTGTCCCCTAACTACTCTGCCCCAGCTAGGAACAAAGGAGAGACTAGAGGATGCTGGGAAGGGATGGGGAGGATGGGACTGCAGTGGTAGTGAGGCACACACGTGCCTTATTATTCTGTTTTGTGTGTGTGTGTGTGTGTGTGTGTGTGTGTGTGTGTGTGGACTCTCACAGGACTCACAGACCTCCTGTTTCAGCAACATGGTCGTCCTGCCTGACTTGACACTGTAGCTGTGGATAGACTCTCAGCTCCTTCCTCTTTCTCTGGAAAGGCTCTGCAGTTTCCTCAAGGTCTAGAGCAGACATGGCTTTCTCAGTGAGGACTCCCCTTCAGGCCTCCGTTGCTTTCTCTCTGTGGAGAGCATCAGTATGAATGGTTACCAGTTTTCTCCTGTGCCTCGGGGAAAATAGAGCATTGTTGTTCTCTGTATTTTAGCACAGGACCGGTAACTAGAAGGCATTAAAAAAAAGCCAAACCACTGTTTAATTTAAATTAAAACTTAATTAATTTATTAATTATTAATTAAAGTTAACTAAACATAAATTAATTAAATTACATTAATTTAAGTTTAAACAGCCAGTTTGGGATCTGCCTGCAATGAAAGCTCAGAGTTGTCTGGTGGAATTTTCTTGTAGGTTTGAATGACTTATCAGTTTCCTGCCCTCGTAGCCCACCATTTTGCATTCTCCCATCTTCACCTTGCTACTACAGGTGCCCCTGGGGCCTAGGACTCCTTGCTTGGTGGGAATGGCTGGGAGCGTTTGCTTGTTCTCTTCATTCCACAGGACACTTGAAGGTATGAGATGTCTTTAGTCAAACAGAAGTCTCTAGAAACAGTTGCAGACTAGAACTATGCTTTTCTGCAGGCTATACCAAGACTTACCACAGGCTGTGTTGCTAAAGGCAGTGTAATTCAGCGAGGTAATGTGCTGGACTTGAGGATAGAAGCAGGTTCACAGAGCTGGGCTGTGTGTTCAGAGGCGGCCTGCTTTGTGGCTCAGTCCTGCACATGATGGGATCTGAAGGTTGGAGTTCTTTTGCCTTCAGCCTTCCTCAATAGGCAGAGCTCAGAAACACACGCACACATTTCACAAGCATTTTCTCATGTCTATGTTACTGTTTCTATCAGAAATGTGAATCTACACTGATCTGTCCTGCTCCATTCCGGTATGGCTGGAGTGTTGCTCTGGCTTTCCTGTGTTCATATCTGTACCTTTCTGCTGTGACAGTGAGTACTGTTGTGCCTTATCCTTGGTGCATGGACTCATCCAAACCCTGTCACGTCACCCTTCCCATGGTGCCAGCCGTCCTGCCAACACAGCTGCTCACATTTGCCTGCACGAGGAGGGTTTCTCCCACGCTCAGGTAGAGCTGGGCCCTAGAGTCCACTCTTCCTGCAGCATGTTCTGGCATAAATGTAGCTCAAAACAAACGAATTTCTTTTCCAGGCCTAGAGAACTCTAGAGCAGTGTGTGCTGTTGCCGGATCTGCCCACTCAGCCTCATTAACAGGTGGGTACCAGCTCTGAAGGGGCACGTGGCCTGGGATGAAGCTGATGCAGAGTCGGGGATGGTGTAAATTTTGCAGTGGGTGTTTAGTATCACTCTTGATATAGTTTTAGGCAAAATTACTTTACCTTTTGAGACCATTTCCCCATTTGTAAAAGTACTTTATAAGTAGCTGTAAGAGCTTAATGTGATGGTTCATAGAAAGCAGGAGAACCTCAAACTTCACCTCATTGCTCATCCTCTGAGTTTTCTCAAGTTATACAGGGTGGAAAAGATTAACTTCCTTTTTGGGGAATTGCGATGGGCAGATCAAGAAATCAATGGTAAATTTATACATAGCCATGTATAAATTTTGCTCAGTGATGGGGGATGTCATTGCCTAAGCATCAAGGAAATGCTTCACTGCACACCTAGGTTGTGATATGGGTACCGTTGTGACTTATTGTTGACTGGCGTGTTAGGGAGCAAGTTTGTGACCATGTTTTGCTTTTGAGACAGTTTTTCCCTGTAGCCCAGCCTGGGTTGGAATTTACTATGTAACTCAGGTTAGCCTTAAACTTACTGAAATTCTCCTGCCTCAGCTTTCTGACTGCAAGGATTACAGGTGTGAATGATGCACATACCTTTCTTAGCTGTTTCACCTTCTAATGCAACTTTTCACATTCTCTTTCTTGCTATAATGTCACACTGTTTTGTTTTTTTTAAATAATTTATTTAGTATGTGTACAGTGATCTGCCTGCAGGTATGTCTGCAGGCCAGAAGAGGGCACCAGATCTCATTATAGATGCTTATGAACCACCATGTGGTTGCTGGGAATTGAACTCAGGACCTCTGGAAGAACAGATAGTGCTCTTAACCTCTAAGCCATCTCTCCATCCCATGTCACACTGTTTAATTTTATTTTAACCTGTATTAATCTGCAGCTATCTACTTCGTGTATTTATCTCCCTGTTTTCTTTCCATGTGCTTGTCTATTCTATTTACCTGCATTTCTGTTTTACTTATCTTTCATTCTTATAGCTTACCTATTTATTTGCATGTATCTGTTTATAAGGTTAGTCTACTGTATATGTATTTTCTATTTTTTCCGTTTCATTTCATTATTATTTTTACCCCTCACATTAAATAGCCATTTTTCTTTTTTCTTTTCTTTACTTTTTCCTTCCTTCCTTCCTTCCTTCCTTCCTTCCTTCCTTCCTTCCCTCCCTCCCTCCCTGCCTACTTCCTTCCTTCCTTCCTTCCTTCCTTCCCTCCCTCCCTCCCTCCCTGCCTCCTTCCTTCCTTCTTTCCTTCCCTCCCTCCCTCCCTTCTTTTCTTTCTTTCTTTCTTTCTTTCTTTCTTTCTTTCTTTCTTTCTTTCTTGTCTTTCTTTCTTTCTTTCTTTCTTTCTTTCTTTCTTTCTTTCTTTCTTTCTTTCTTGTCTTTCTTTCTTCCTTCCTTCCTTCCTTCCTTCCTTTCTTTCTTTCTTTCTTTCTTTCTTTCTTTCTTTCTTTCTTTCTTTCTTTCTTTCTTTCTTGTCTTCCTTTCTTGTCTTTCTTGAGATAGCCTCATGTAGCCCAGGCTGGTCCCAAACTCAGTAAGTAGCTAACACTAGCCTTATAACTCCTGATTCTTTTGCTTCCATCTCCCAAGTTCTAGGATTACAGGTGTAATGCTCACCTTTTACATTGCAGTTTTCTGACTCTCCATCCATCCATCAGTGCCAAGGAAGCCATGTGTCATCCTCTCACGTGGGAAGGTCTTTCCTTTCCTTTGGCCTGGATTGTTGTACTACAGCAGGGCAGACTGCAGCCTGTACCTCCGAGGGCCTTGTCTTTGTTAGGCCTCTCACAGATATGCACATGTCTTTTATTTTTAAGCAGCAAGTGGGGGCTCCCATACTTGGTTTGCTCAGTCAGTGTTTTGTGTGGAAATTCATGTGTATACACGTCTGTAAACTTACAGCCTTAGCATGACCCAGCCGAGCTGACAACTAACTGTTGGTGTTTACTGAGCTCCAGAGCAAGCGTGAAAATTTAAAGACTTAACAGACTCTGAGCTACCAATAAACTCTTGGTTAATGATCCTGAAACTACTGACCTGCCGACAAAGGAGGCAGCAGTTTGTAGCCTGCATTCACTTCACCTGGACTTTGGTGCTGGTGATAGTGTTGAGGTGACTGCTGCCCCTGTTTGACTGCACAAGCACCAGCCCCCACCTCTCTTCTAGAGACGCTGGGATTGCAGGGTGCTGGAGGCTGCATCCTTGTGGGAGTAAGAATAGATTAAGCTTCATTCTTTTTCTGTCCTAATTGATTTGAGATGGCTGATGGAATGCAACTTAGAAATTAGCAAATTGCCTGCTAATGTCAATTAAAAAAAGGAACAAAAATATGTGATTACTAAATTTATTATTTCCTACGTGGCCTCTTTGACTATTGTGCTTTTTTAATGCACAGACTGGATTTTTTTTTGTGGAGCTATAATTTATAGATGATATTCACCATTTTAAAGTGTCCATTTAATCATTTTTTAGTACAGTCACAAAGTGAATTGGTTTTTGATATTTCGAAAGTGAGTTAAAAATTGTCAAGATTAATAGCCCTCTTTTTTCATCTTACTCTGGCTGTTAACACATTGGATTTTGTTCTGGCTGTTAACACATTGGATTTTGTTCAGTGTTCTTTAGGCCTCTTCTCTGGAGTCCTTGTAGATTATGTAACCATTTGGCATCGCAGCAGAAGTTAATTTTACCTGCTGATGCAACAGCGTAACTATCCCCGTGTGGAAGACAGTCTGTCTTTCAAAAGATGGCTTAGATATTCTGAGCCTCGTAAGCTCCCCACCCGTGGCGCCTCTCTCCCCACCAGTGGCGCCTCTGTGGCTCCCCAGCATCTACGAGGCTGATATTTTGTAAGGTGAGGCATGTTGTCTTTGTTGCAGGCTGATGAAGGCCTGATGCATACTGTAGCTGTAGGATGTCAGTGATGGAAGCTATGTTGCTTACACATTCTCCTCTTAGAGGTGAGGACATGGTGGCATGGTGCACTGTGCCCAGTGTCCCACAGCGAGTGAGTGATGGAACTTGGAGACTGCTGAGCTATGACTATCATTAGATCCTGTTTGGCCTTTGATGAGCTTTAGGGACTATGAAGCCACCATAGGGCAAGCAGCGCTGTCAACTTGCTCAGGGACTCACCAACAGAGCAGGCCTGGCTCCTCGGCCCTTCACTGTTATGATCCTCTTTAGCCAGGTCATCTTGAAAAGTCATTTAACATTTCTCAGCCTTGAGTAGCTTATCTTTTGGGACAGTGCTGTATAATATGATGAGAGCCATCTTCCAAAAAGTAAAATGAAACAGGTAAGATTATCTTGTTAATACATTTTGCTTAGAATGTCCAAAATACTCTTTGCTATAATAGAAGCACTGTTAATGAAGTATGCTTTTTTGAATGTGTGCCCTCGGTCTGCAGTCTGTAGTGGGTTTTCACGTGGGCCGGCCACACTTCAGGTGTAACCAGTGCTGTCCTTAGGTGCGTGTGTGGACTGCCACGCTGCCAGGACTGGGGAAGCTCATGTGCACTCTGAGGAGCTGCAGACTGCTGTCTCTCAGGCTGACCAATAGCCTGGGCTTCATTTTGTTTCTTTGAACTCGAGCACTTGTAGAGGGCAGGTGCTCTGGTTGCCACGGTCCCCACAGTCTGTAGTCAGCAGTGATGCCAGTTGTATCTTCTGCCCTTTGAGGCCAGCAGCCCTCCCCATCTTCAGCCGGTGAAACCAGGCTTGGAGAGGAAGTGATTTGTCCAAGGTCAATAGCTAGTTAGCAGATCCAGGAATAGCAGCCAGCGTCACTTGACTCTGCATTTGCTTCCTCCTCCTGTTACAGAGGCTCCTGCCTCTATCATGAGGTTATTGTGAGGCCCAGATGCGCTCAGGGGCTGCACAGATGGGCAGTGGCAGCTCATTCTGTGCTGTGGACAGCAAGTACAGTGAAAGAATCTCAGTTTTAAAAGGCTGAAGCTAAAATACCACACAGTTTTTTTGGCAGTGTCTCCTGAAGTCCAGATTGGCCTTGAACTAACTGTAGCTAAGGATGACCTTGACCTCCCTAATCCTCCTGCCGCTACTTCCAGAGCTCTGGGGTTATAGGTGCGCACCACCACACCCAATGTATGCAGTGCTGGGGACCGTGCATGCTAGGCAAACCAGCTGAGCCAAAGCCCCAGCCCCACATAGCGTATCTTCTAACCTGTCATCTTAAAAAGTAAAAAAGTGTGAAGGTTTCCTTTCATAAGAGGTAATATAGGCTTTATACTTAAAAATATATATATAGTAAATGGGCCTGTGAGATGGCTTAGTAAGAGGTTTCCTGCGTTAGCATGAGGGTCTCAGTTTGAATCTCAGCATCCACATAAAAACCTACACCTTTAACCCCAGCATTTGTAGAGTGGACACTTAGGGCTTGTTTCAACTTCTTGGCCATCAGCCTAGCTCTAGCTTCAGTGAGAGACCCTTGTCTCAAAGGAATAAGGTAGAAAGCAATAGAGCAGCATAGCTGATGTTCTCTCTCAGGCTCTGTGCTCATGGGCACATGCAACTCCCCCCACCCCCAATGTGTGCATATAACATCACCCCAGGAATGAACACACGCACGCACGCACGCACGCCCCGGACAATATGTGTTCCATACGCTAGGCCTTGCTTATGTACAGAATTTTTTAAGTCTTACATTTGGTGATGCTCTACATAAATTCCATATTGTGCGTGGGTCCACTGAATGTTGTGGTGTAAGCAGGAAACAGTCTCCTCTGGCTGCTGCTACTTCAGTGTTGTCTCCCACCCTCTGGATCACGGTCCTTACCCCCTGCCCCCTCTCTTTCAGATACAGGAGAGCTGTATGTCTGGGGCAGTAACAAGCATGGGCAACTGGCTTCCCTGGCTGCGTTCCTTCTTCTGCCCCAGAGAATAGAAGCCCGTTGCTTTCAGGATGAAAAGGTCACTGCTGTGTGGAGTGGCTGGACTCACCTGGTTGCTCAGACAGGTGAGAGTATAGCAGAGAATTCGGTATTGGTAAGAGTAGCTGTCTGGACATTCGGGGCTAAGGCCTGGGGGTGAAGGGCGGGGAAGTGGAGGACCCAGGCTCTTCTGGCATCAGCAAGATGTGGCTTTTTCTCTCTGGCTTACAGCTTTGCCCCTGGAAATGCAAGGCTGGGTTGGTGAACTGAGAGTCCCTGAGGTTTTGAGAGGGCAGCAGTGACTGCCAACATGACCCAGAGGTTGGTCCAGGGTACCAGTGAGCTCTTGCCTAGTCAGGGCTGGAGAGAGGGTTTTATTTTCATCTTGGCCTACTCTGAGTTAAAATAACATCAGAAAGTATTGGCAAATGTTTCAAATTGAGTTGTAGCTGGCATGACATTCCGATTTAAACTTGGGTTTGACTCTCAGACACTGTGTACATTGATTGAACCCTGGTGTTCCTCAGGGAACCACATGCCTGGCAGGTCTGGGCATCTTCACCTTCCTTTGAGTCTCTTGGCTTCCGTCTCTTCCTTAGGTCAGGTGTTTCTTGGCTGTCATACTCCTTTCTTCTTGGATTTTGGCTTTTCGTGGCCTCTCACCCCTGCTGTTCGGGAGTCGCTGCTGATCTGCTGTTCCTCAGACAGTCTGATGTCATAGCAAGGCCTTCTGAACCTCAGGCCTTCTCAGAGCTTCTCCCGCCTTTCTGGCTCCATCTTAGGCTCCCAAACACCTGCTGCCTGCTTTTCCAGATGTTTCCAGCTCTCACAGGTTTTCTCATAGCTTCAGCTCTCTTCCTTAAGTCATGCATGCTGTGTGCATTCATAGTCACAGATTGAGAGCATTTGTGCCCTCCATGCTTTTAATTGATCTTTCCAAATGATGTGGTTGTTGTTGATTGGTGAACTGGTTAAGGATGACACGTAGTAACCACCATGTTGCCAGGCCGGAGGATGCTCTCAGGAACGTGTGTTGTCCGTTTGGAGGTAAATTGTTTCTTTCCTCAAAGAGCTTCAGATTGCTTGAACGTAAGGATGGAAAACTTCATCTGTCCATCTGTCCACCCCCTGGTCCATCTGTCTGTTTGTCCATCATCCATCCATCCATCCACTCATAAGTGGCAAGGTCTGTTTATGTGCCCTTAAGGAGCCCCTTAGGAGAGGCAGAGCCATATCAGAACTCAGCACCATTCCAGTATTAGACATGCAAGCACAGAGCCAAGTATGGAATGAAAAGTAGCAAGGCAGTGAGCGGCGGCAGCGGCAGGCTGAGTAATTAGGTGTTAACAGGTGGGTGGCTATAGGTAATCTTCCACAGTGCAGTGCAGCAAAGCGCTCCCGCTGCCACACAGCAGCGAGTCTGTAGGTAATCCCTGCACGCGGTTAAGAGGCAGACTGTCAACGACAGAAGTGGCTCGTCTTTGAAGCCCTGCAGTGGAAGCGGACCTCATGTCGGGCAGGGCCTGCAGCCCTGGGGTGGGAGGTTGGCAACTGCATTCTTGACAGCGCTGAGTCACTGCAGCTGCTGGGGAGCTCATCTTAAGGTTTCCACCTCCACTCGAGAGCATGATTTTCTGGGTAACTGTTCAGCTGTTAATTAAGTTGCTAATTCATCTTGCTTGTTTATGTACCTCACTCTGTTCCCTTTTCTCCCAGGTCAGGAATGGTTAAAAGCTGGGGTGTTTGATTATCTGGGTGTTATACTGAATTGGGGGTGAATGGTAAGATCCTGATTCACCAGTCTGTGCTCCTTGAAGCAGGCATGGCAGCCCTTGCCCTGGCCTGATGTCATTGAGAAGAAGCACCCAGGGTTTCTGTTTAATCAGACTCAGCCTCTCACAGTAATGGGAACAAGTCTTCTTTGCAGTGTCACAATTGGCTCCTCACTCCAGCAAGAAGTTGTTTGGCTCTGGTTGTCTCGGAAGCTCCAGGGGCGGACCTCAGCAGCATATACCTGCCTATGTGGAGGCTTTTGTTGTGTGATACTGACCCAGAAGAGCTTGTGCACAGTGACCATGTGTCTCCAGAGTCCTGGGACAGGACAGGGCACTGTGCCTTTCTTCTCCAAGGTCTCAAGTTTGAAGCTTCCGCAAGAGGTGACTTTTGTCCTGCAGTGGACATTTGTAATGGCTGGAGACATTAGAGGCTGTGACAGCTGGGGATTGTCACCCCATGGGTGGAGGTCAAGGATGCAGCTGAATTTTCTAGCCTTGTAAGATAGCAAGGTGCCCTCAGTTGGTGTGGGAAATGTGTGTAGTCCAAATGCTTGTAGTGCAAGGTGGAGACATCTGCCTGGGACTGGTGTCCCCGCTGGCAGGCGCGTTGCTGGGCAGTTTGGATGGCACTGGGATAGCTGCCCAGATGGTCTGGTCTGCACGAGTGGATATGCCCTCTGCCCTCTCTTAGGAGCCTGCTGCCTGCCTGCAGGTTTGCAGTGGAAAAATACTTTTCTGTCTTAGTCAGAGGCTCTTGGAAAGAGGCCAGGGGAACCTGTTCTAATCTGGGAGAGTTGGCAAGGGTACCTGTGTCTCAGGCTGGTGTGGAGTTGCATTCTAGAAACCTTTCCTGAGCTGCTTGATGCCCCTGGTCAGTTCTCAGGAACATCATGGGACTCCTGCGTGACTCTGTCCCAGCTTGGTGACCCGCCGCTGTCTTAAAGATGCTCAGTTTCCGCGAGAAATGTTTTACAAAGCTGGATGGCTGAGTTGGGCGTTTTCCTCTGGTGACCATGTAAGCTATCTCACACGTCCTAACCACCCCTCTCAGGTGGGGTATTAGGCCTCCCTGCCTGCCGCATAGTGTGGCCTGTGCAAACATCTGTGAGCGTCCCAGTGAGCTGTAAACGTCTGCACAAGCGATGCTCACCTGAGGAAGGCGACTGAGCGCTGGGTCGCATTTTTAGAAGAGCCGCCGTTTTAACAGGTTCTGCAGCAGGATAGAACTATGTTGTCTTCGCACTAAGGCCTCCTAGGCTGGCCAGGCCTGTGCTGCTCAAGCTGACGGCTGTGCTCCTTGAAGTCTCTCACCCACCTGCAGTAGGCTCGTGGCTTTATTGGATTATCAAGGCTTTGGAAGCCCTCTGTGGCCTCCTAGGTACTTTTACCTGTTGATCCTTTGCGGTTCTCTTCCCAGTCTATAGTTGGACACGTCTGTCTGTCCTATTTGTTTAGTAATTTGTCTAGGTTGTAGACTCCATGAGAGCGGGGCCTCATTTTGCTTCTGTCTGCAGCCTGGAACAGGGCTGCCACACAGTAGATGTTCAGAAGCTAATTGCCTAGTGAATAAGCGAATGGCAAGAGGAAAAGAGCATGGCTTTGAAGCCAGATGGATCTAGGTTTGTGCTCCACTCTCCCCGGGGTCACACCCTGGTTACTGTGGTACATTTATCCTCATGGCCTTGTGACCCTCCTCTTCGTTTTATTTGATTTACATGACCCTGTCACTTTGAACTTCTGGTCCTCTTGCCTTCTCCTAAGTGTTACAGATGCTCCCAGCTTATGGGGTGCTAGGGATTTGAACTCACAGCTTCATGCATGCTAGGCAGGTCCTCTACCACTGAGCTATTGATTTTTTGACTAATTCCTTCTCCCACAAGACTAATAAGTTCCAGGAGAGCAGGTGGTATGTTTCTTTTGGTTTGCCATTGTTTCTTCCATTCTTAAGGAACACTTCAGGAGGTCCTTAGTCGATACATGTACAAATAAACACCACTGCTTCAACTATCCCATGTTAGAATGGGGAAGGGAAATTGCCAACCTGGAGTAAAGAAGTGATGTGGTAAGACCCAGGACTGGGCTGGGCCCAGACCCCCACACGCTCGGTCCCATCAGCTTTCTCTGTCCTTTTGGAAACTCTGGAGCTCCCTGGACTAGTTTGCTGGGTTTCTTCTCTGTGGACAGAGGTCGCCGTGGGACTCTGTGAATGCCTCTGAATGGGTAGCAGGTAGATTCCAGGTTGTCCTGAGGTGTGTAAAGAGATCAATCTTACAGGTGCTAAGTGCTAGCTGCTGGCAGTTTGTTAGAATTTCTTAGAATTTCAAGGGAATGCTCTTCCCAGGTCCCAGATGTTATTGTGGGATCGGACACAAAGTCTAGAATCCTTTGCTTTCCGGAGGCTGGAAGCTTTCCCTGAACCATGCAGCATCCCAAAGTAGCTTTGTGGTCTCAGAAGGATATGGATCGAAAAAATGAGGCCAAATGCAAAGAGTTCTTTGACATTCTTTACTTTTCTGTGTCACCCAAGAAAGACGTGGAGGGTTGGATGCTATAGAGAGGCAGAGACACAGGAAGCATCTTCTTCACCTGGAAGGTGACAAAACTAAAACTAAGCAGGGAAATGAGGGGTGGGCACAGCCCCAGAATCTAGGTTGGTTCTGCTGCCTAGGAAACGTCATCTTACTGTCTCCCCAGTCTTAGTAATATTCTTTAGAACTTTTCTTTTAGACTTACTTATTTTTATGTGTATGGATGCTTTGCCTACATGTATGTATGCGTGCTGTGTGTATGTGCCTGGTGTCCCCAGATTTCTTAAAGGAGGTTGGCTCATCTGGAACTAGAATTATAAATGGTTGTGAACCACTGTGTAAATGCTGGGAAGCAAATTTGGGTCCTCTGTAAGAGCAGCAAGTGTTCTTACATAGGACCACTGATCTGTGTCTCTTAGCAATATTCTTTTAATTGAGATATTTTTCTTACAGGGACCATGTGTGGACAAGACTACTCTCTTTTCTTTAGGGATCACAGACCAAGAAATCCTTGGTTGTATGTGATGTCTGAGCATCAGTGAAAACCCCAAGCCCATGCTGGGTCACACTGAGCGGAGTTTATACATATCCTGATGCTGATTTTCCTGTTTTGGGGCCAATATCTCTTCTGTAATAGATAGGCAGTATATATTACTCCTTCTTTGGGGCCATACATTGTGAAACCTCAGTAGACCTTAGAGAATTATAACCTCATGGGTCTATTTAAAGCTGGTGGTTTGGAATTTGTGATGCTTCCTAGAGCTTTAGAATTTTGAAAACTCC